CGCATGGCGCGCAGCGCCAATGCAGTCTTGTGTGTATATATATATATACACACATACACATATACATACACTTACTAGTATACAAATTGTGGAAATCCCGGATGTAGAGATCCCGGATCTTTGATTTGACCGCTGTTGACCCAGCCCGTTAGGATTCTAGGGGGGAAGGGGGGGGCAGCTTGGAGCGGTGGGGACAGGGGTCAGCCTTCGCCCGCCCGCTCGCGCGGAAGTACCGGACGAAACCTGCATCATATTGACGCTTCCATAAAACATGACGAGCATTAAAGTTCGTCATGCTTTATACGAGAGCATTCGTCACCATTATGTGTGGTATGGTCATATTCCTGCCCGACCGCCGATTGTATGAACGAAAAGAACTTTATTGCGAGCTCTTTTTCTGTGGTAACATTAAGCGGCGACCACACGTGTACATTGAGAAGACGGCGATTGAAACAAAAGGAGGCGGCACACCGCAGTTGTTTCGTCATTGACAGCTCTTCAACTTTAAGTATTATCGACCTTAACGGTCCGATGGCTCCCGTCTGGGCACGGCTTCAGGTGTCATAGTCCCGCCATTGCAGATGTATGAATTTACATGACTGCATTTTATTACATCATGCGCACTAGCGTTATGCCCAATAATATTTAGCATGTCGCGAAATTCCTCCATCGACTTGCGTACTTCGAGAGCTTCGGGTCTAGAAGTAACAATCATGAGCCCCGCTTTCCCCCTCCTGAAATGAAGCACAATCCCCGAAATCAAAAACTCTTCTTACAGCATGGTGACCGTTTTGTGTGCAACAGATGTCCATTTCTTGGGCTCCTGGGCATCGCAACAGTAGTCATGCCATCCACATAAGGGGTGCCTTCAGCTATGCTCGTCTCGCTGTCTAGTCCAAAGAACCGCTGCGGCTGTCTTAGCCCAACACGCGTGAGCACACGCGATTAATCGATCATACGCTCAGCGCTTGCAGCATGCACAGGCCCGAAAGCGCACGAAAAAAACACACCTGTTGCTGGAGAACCAAGTCTAACCCCCGTCGTGGCATTCGCTATTTCTAAGCCCCCATTAGCCCCAAACCATGTGTCATGCTAATGTTCGGCCCTCTGGTTAATGAAGTGGGGAGGGGGGCAATGGGGGCACCACTCCGTGATTCCGAATAGGGTCCAGCGGTGAAGGCTTCCTGAGACGCTGGTAGGAGCGCTGCTGGTACCTGCATGGTCTGCACAGCAGCCCCGAACTCAGTGCCAGGGCGATTGAGTAAGAGCTGACGCAGCACTGAGTGGAAAGCAGACCTGATGTCAGAGAAAGATGACTCCTGTTGCTTATGTTTGCAACAGTTCACGCACGCTCGGACGAGATATGGCGTGAAGACCGTCACCCCATTGGGCATGCATCCACATTGTTGATCACATACCAGGTGCTTAGCTAAAACAACAAATGGCACGAAAATTGTTAATATACTTCAAAGCAAGGCCGGCCTTGGGCAACGCGACCGCCCATCCCCGTTTCATGCTAAACGGCTCAACACCACACGTCTGGATTGTGACAAGGAGTGGTGCCAATATACGTCAGCCCTCTCAGCCACGCACTGGAAAAGACTCATCCCAAATGTGGTTTGTGCATGCGCCTGTGCCTGCTTTCGGTTTCTTGAAGCTCTGCAATATCTTGCCTTGGGATTTGATGCATGCGATGTCAAATTGTGTCGGCAAAAATATCTTTCCGACCATGGCATTGTACGACTGTCGCACCTGCTGGGCTTCAGCCACGCTAGCCTTCCAAGCGTTAGCAACAACATAGAGCAAGCAAGATAACATCTTGGCACCATTTGTGAGCACCTCATCCTCCCTTTGGGATTCAGTGCATTGCAGTGCATGTAAGCCTGCTTGGGAACACTTCCCCTTCGCTCCCTCAGACCTCATGAGCTCTCTGACCTGGCACTATTCCTCCCGACAAGCATGACTGGCGATATCCTGCTTAATGTCATCCCCAATCCGATCTTGGCGGATGCGCTTCCTCGGTCCCTGATTCATTGGCTTACGCCACAGCGCCGACCCAATCGTCCACCGCGTGGCCTGTCCGGACAGCCTGTGAGGCCCCTCTAGACACGTTTTGGAGCCATCTTAGGACCGTCTTGCCGTTCCCCCGGGTCGTTGCTACGGTTTCTTCTGCCTTCGTGGGGCGCCCGGAGGCCGTCGTGGAGCCTTTTGGAGAATCTCTTGGGGCGCCAGAGGTCGATCTTGGAAATTTCCTGGGCCGTTGTGGACCTCGTGGAAGCCCAACAAGCGAATATGCTGAAAATGTACGTCTTCCCTCGTGAATGGTACGATTTTTGCTTCTGGAGGCCTGCTTGGAGCGCCTCGTGGTCGCGTATGCACACGTCTTGGATGCCCATGGGGCTTTCTGGAGGCAGTCTTGGGCGGTTTGGACCGAATCGTCCCCCGCGTGGGCCGTCCAGACAGCCTTTGGAGCCCTTTTGCCCCATTCTGGAGCCCTCTTAGGACCGTTTTGCGGGTTTCCTGGGCCGTTGCTATGGTTTCTGGGGCCTTCAAGGATCGCCCGCACGCCGTCTTGGAGCCTTCTGGGGAGCCTCTTCGGGTGACGGGGGTCGATCTTAGAGATTTATTGGGCCGTTGTGGGCCTCGTGAAAACCCAAGAAGCGAATGTGCTGAAAATGTATGTTTTACCTCGGGAATGGGACGGTTTTTGCTGGTGGAGGGCCTTCTTGGAGCGCCTCGTGGCCGCGTATGCAAACGTCTTGGACACCCATGGGGCCGTCTGGCGGCGATCTTGGGTGGTTTGGACCGAATCGTCCCCCGTGTGGGCCGTCCGGACAGCATTTTGGAGCCCTTTTGCCCCGTTTTGGAGCCCTCTTGAGACCGTCCTGCGGCTTTCCTAAGCCGTTGCTATGGTTTCTGGGGCCTTCTTGGATCGCCCGGACGCCGTCTTGGAGCCTTTTTGGGAGCCTCTTTCTGGGCCGTTTTGCGCCGCGTGGAAGCCGAATGGGCGAATGTGGTGAAAATGCACGTTTCCCTAGGGAAGGGACGATTTTTGCTTCTGGAGGGCCTCTGTGGGCGCCTCGTAAAATTGTTTCAAACGTCTTGGGAACTTATGGAGCCGTGTGGAGGCAATATTCGGCGTTTTGGGGTGATCTTTCGTCGATTCGTAGCTATCTTGGACCGTTCCGGGAACCTTTGCAACCTTTTTGGCCCGTTTTGGGACTTCCTGAGGCCCCAAGTGTGCGGATGATGGATTTGCCCCCCACCCCCACCCCCACCCTCCAAACCGGTCGGACCAGGCCCCCGGGGGAGGGGTTTGGGGAGGGGGAAGCATCTCACACGTTGTGACCCCAAGGGGTCGGCGGATTCGGTGTCCTCGTTCCATTCGGTCCCCCCACCCTTCCTCTTCGTCCTCATCGCCCCTTCTCCTCCTCATCATTCACCTCGTCGTCATTGCCCTCCTATTTCTCCTGGCACGTGGTTTGGACGCCCTCCCTATCCGGCCATGCTCTGGCCCCTGGTTCTCCCCCCCCTCCTCCTCGTCCTCCTCCTCCTCCTCCTCCTCCTCGTCCTCCTGCTCCTCCTCCTCATCCTCCTCCTCCTCCTCCGCCTCCTTCTTTGGTTTGCCCTCCCTTGTTCTACCGCCTGGTTCTTGACTCATGCCTCCTCTGCCCCCCAACGCCTGCCAGGACACCCCCCGGCCGCCGCGACCCGCAGCACCATTGACGCTCCCCCTCGCAGCACTTCCCGGGACAACCCAGGATTCCTTTGTGGCAAAACGCGTGGTTGATGTCGGTGGGTGTGCACGTGTTGCGTGCCATTGGCGTGGACAGTTTCGGGGCTGCTGCATGGGCCGTATTGGCGTTGGCAGTTTCGCGGTTGTTGCGTGGGGCGTTGTCCTTGCCGTTGGGAAATTCGGGTTGTTGTTTGTGCCGTTGGCATTGCCGTTCAAAGTTTCGGGGCTGTTTCGGAGGCCATTGCCATTGTTGTCCACAGTTTCGGGGCTGTTGCAGGGGCTCGTTGCGGTAGACCCGAAATTGCCAACGAAAATGTGCCGCTCGCATTCGTCTTAAGAGTTTACAGCAATTTCAAGGATTCTTATGGTTGACGTCCTAGATAAGGTGTCGTGGGCACAATGTAGGGATTTCAGGGCGTAACAGTTACGTTGATTCGCGGACCATCCAGGTTCGCCAGGACGCAACAGACATGTTGGTTTGCGGCGTTGAAGTCCCAGGAATTGTGTTTTGGCACGGTTCATGGTTGACAGTTGTCTCACAAGTTAGGACCTATCAAGAGGGAATTTGGCGGGAGGGTTTATTGCAACATCGTTGACGAGTCGTGGGTCAACGTTGGTTTTGTTGTTCTTCCTCTTCCTATTCCTCCTCCTCCTCCTCCTCCTCCTCCTCCTCCTCCTCCTCCTCCGCACTCCTTACTTCTCACTCCTCACTCCTCTCTCCTCCTCCTCACTCCTCCCGCACACCTCATTCCTCCCTTCTCCCTCCTCCCTCCTCTTCCTCCCCATTCCCCACTCACTCCTCCTCGTCCTCCTCACTCCTCACTCCTCACTGGTCCTCCTTCCCACTCCCCACTCCCCACTGGCCATCCCCACTCCCCACTGGTCCTCTTCCTCACTCCTCCTCGTCCTCCTCCTCCTCCTCATCCTCCTCCTCTTCCTCTTCCTCCTGCTCTCCCGCTTTCTCCTCTCCTCCTCCTCCTCCTCTTCCTCTTTCATCATCATCATCATCATCATATCATCATCATCATCATCATCATCATCATCATCATCATCAACATCACATCCTCCTTCCTCCTCGTCATCCTCTTCCTCCTCCTCATCCTCTTCCTCCTCCTCCTCCTCACTCCTCCTCCTCCTCCTCCTCCTCCTCCTCCTCCTCCTCCTCCTCCTCCTCTTCCTCCTGCTCCTCACTTCTCACTCCTCACTAGTCACTCATCCCCCACCACTCCTCCCCATCTCCATCCTCATCCCATGCGCCCCGCAG